GGGGACTTTAAAATCAGGATCTCCTCAGTTGCTAATAGCAATTCCCACCTTGGAGTTTACAAAGACTTATGGGTAGAAAAGCCACACTAAGGAATTTACTACACCGCAATAACTTATAAAAGATATTGGCCCCAACATGTAACCTACTCCTTACAAATCATCACTGTGAGAGAACTGAGAGCCCACTAACACAACACCAATCCCTGAGAATATTAAGGAGTAGAAACTCTAATCTCAGTTGCAGCATCTGGTACACACACAGATGTGAAAGGCAAGTTGGAGTTTTTTCTCTTAATAATGTAAAATAAAATACACATATAGAAAACTACACAAAATTGTGTTGTTGTTGTTACTGTTATGTGCCGTCAAGTCAGACCTGACTCATAGTGACCCTTCCATAGGTTTCCGAGGCATTATCACTCCGGAAGTAGATTGCCCAACCTTCCTTTCGAGGAGTGGCTGGTGGGTTTGAGCCGCCAGCCTTCTGGTTAGTAGTCGAGTGCCTTAGGCACTATGCTACCAGAGCTCCCAACACACACACACACACACACACACACACAAATTGTATGTTGTTGTTGTTAGGTGCTGTCGAGTTGTTTCCGACCCATAGCAACCCCATGCACAGCAGAACGAAACACTGCCCAATCCTGCACCAGCTCCATGATCCCTGCTATATTTGAGCCCATCATTGCAGGCACTGTGTCAATCCATCTTGTTGAAGGCTTCCCCTCGTTGACCCTCCACCCTACCAAGCATGACCTCTTTCTCCAGGGAATGGTCCTTCTGACAACATGACCAAAGTAGGTGAGACGAAGTCTGGCCATTCTTGCTTCCAAGGAGCATTTCCGGTGCACTTCCTCTAGGACAGATCTGTTAGTTCTTTTAGCAGTCCATGGTACTTTCAGTATTCTTCACCAGCACCACAACTCAAAAGCATCAACTCTTCTTCGGTTTTCCTTATTCACTGTCCAGATCTCACATGCATACGAGGTAATTGTAAATATCATGGCTTTTGTCAGGTGCACCTTAGTCCTCAAGGAGACATCTTTGCTCCTCAGCACTTGAAAGAGTTCCTTTGCGGATGACCTTCCCAGTGCTACACGTTGTTAATGTCCTGACTGCTGCTTCTATTGGCATCGGCTGCAGAACCAAGCAATGTGAATTCTTTGACAACCTCAATCTTCTCTCCATTTATCGTGATGCTGCTTATTGATCCAGTTGTGAGGATTTTTGTTTTCTTTATAGTGAGATGTAATTCATACTGCAGACTGTGTTCTTCAATCTTCATCAGTAACTGCCTCAAGTCATCCTCACTTTCAGCAAGCAAAGTTGTATAGTCTGTGTATCTCAGGTTGTTAATGATTCTTCCTCCAAACCTGATGCCACGTTTTTCTTCATATAGTCCAGCTTCTTGAATTATTTGCTCAGCATATAGATTGAATAAGTGTAAGGAAAGGATACAACCCTGACACACTCCCTTCTTGATTTTAAACCATGTAGTGTCCCCTTGTTCCATTTGAACGACAGCCTCCTGGTCAAGGTACAGGTTCCTCATGAGTACAATCAAGTGCTTGGGAATTCCCATTCTT